TAATGAGTCATATTTGTTATTTTGCACATTATATATGCATTTGACATCCTTTTTGGTCATTCTGTCTTATTTTCTTCATGGCATTTTGGAACTGTATTCTCCAAATACAATGCAAATCACAAAGTTTGAACAAACTGAGGTGTTTTTATTTTTTGTGAAAGTGTCTATGTGTCTGCTGGGACTAAAAGAGAGCCTCGAGGACTCATTTACAAGAGAGACCTGCTTTGAACAAAGAATGACAATAATAGACAATCATAAAATAAAGCACATAATTGAAAAAGAAAAATGGAAGACAATTATATTAAAAAAACTAAATAAAAACAGCTACATTGTAAAGCGATATAAAATACCAAGAACAGGAACATGTCTGTGTTGGTTTTTGCCATGAACTTAGCAGATGTTTGTAGCCATTTAGAGAGGTCAAAGTCAACAACTTCAGAAACAGGAGCGGAGCAGGAGAATGCCCTTTTGTCTAGTTCAGTCCTCACTGAGGGAACACTGCAGGTAATAATGTCTTGAGAGCGCACGCCGTAGCTGCACTCACGCAGAGACATGTAGGAGATGTATGAAGGCAGCAGACCAAGAAGTGATTTAAAGATGAAAATGCACCAGTGGGAGAGTCTGTGTGAAGTTAATGATGACCAGTTAACTAGTGAATACAGGGTGCAGTGATGGGTACGGTAGTTACAGCCAGTTATGAATCTTAGTGCACCATGATAGACAGCATCCAACATCTGCAGGGAGCTTGTAGGAGTGTTCAAATAATGTCACCGTAGTCAATGGAGGGAAGGAAAGTTACAGTTACAAGATGTTTCCTAGCATTCAGAGTTAGACAGGATCTATTTCTGAAAAAGAAACCCAATTTAACTTTCAGTTTCTTTACCAAGCTTTCGACATGGAGCTTAAAAGAGCATTTAGGACAAGTTTGAGACGGAGCAAATCAGACTGGATGATGTCAAAAGCAGATTGCAAAAGATGGAAAATCTTAGCAACTGTTCTAGCTCGACAATAAACAGCTGTATCATCAGCATAGAAATGTATGGAGGCATCAAGGATGATCTGATCTACATTACCTACAGTATGTAGATTGTGAAGAGGGTGGGTCCTAAGACTGAACTTTGTGGTACACCATTGTTAACAGTTAGATAACTGGAAGAAGTACAGTTATGTTGAACACATTGCCTCCAATCTGAAAGATAGTTAGAGAACAATGGTGTGATCTGAGAACCCAGTTTCTGAGACATGACATAAGATGTCTTGGCCCACAGTGTCAAACGCTTTAGACAAGTCTAAGAAAAGTGCAGCACAATAATCCTTACCATCCAAAGCTTCAACAACATCATTAAAACCTTCAACAAAATGACTTAACGTGACTCAGCAACAGGATTAATGCTCCGTTGTAGGTTTCAGAAAGATGAAATATGAGACCTCCTCCTCTTTTTAAAGAGTTTAACGCCTAATGGTCTGAAAGGGGGAAAAAAAGAGGGAGAACCACTCTATAGACCCGTTCTAAAATTATCACAAAATTATTTATTGGTACTGGTGCATCTCGTACTGTTCACAAATTAAGTAAATGCTCTTGGGGCTTTTATGCTATTCTTGTCCACAACAACATGCAACATGTTTTATTCCCAGAGCTACAAACTCTGCTCAGCTCAGTTCCGAATGTGGTTTTGAGGGCACGTCTGGGTCACATCTCCTCCCCCTTCTCTGCAGATTAACCATAAAGACAGTCTCCCACTAAACCCTCTTGGGTCTTAGGGGTTTAGTCGGTACTGAGCACTAGAAGCGTAGACAGGTTGGGAGGCAGGATTGGTTGGGACTGAGGCGAAGAGTGGGGTTGGGATAAGAAGGGTCCAGGAAGGGCGACACAAGAGAGATGATGATGATTGGAGACAATGATAGACGTCCTCTGAGAAGACATTCTTCTCTTTACAGGAATAGAAAAAAGCAACAATAAAGACTTAAAGCTATGTGACAAGAGGAATCTCATCTGACTGCTGGGTGTGCTAAATTAAAATCCTCCCCTTCAATCTGGTGGAAGGGAAACGTCTCTTGTGAAAATGTGTCAAACCATTGAGACAAAATAAAAATCATAATTTATTATCAAAACAAGCTCTGCAGAGCTGGAACATCCTTGACGGTGTTACTTAAAAACTAAAGTAGAACGTATTTGGCTGTCTTGTGTTCGGACCGCAGCTGAATCTTGCTGGGGGGGGGGGGGGGAGAAAAAGAAGGCCTGTATGTGTGCAGAGGACTCCATTCAGAGAGCAGAGGCCGAGAGCTGCGTAAGGAGCTTTAGGCGGTGCTGTGGGAATTTATCCTGTTTGAGATGCAAATTCCTCCAAGAGCTGAAAGAGCTGGAGAAACAGGTGTCCAGGGAAGTGTGATGCAGCAGAAGTGAGGGAGGGCGGGTGATGAATGATAACACAGGGTCTATTCAAACACTGCCTGCTCATTACCGCACCTTTTCACCACTCTTATTTCTACTTTTACTCACAAAACAACAAAAAAAAAGCATGTTGCCATATGAATTTGAAAAATAATTTATCAAAAAGGTTTAGTCTCAAAAGAAGCTGGTTAAAAAAAATAAAAACACCATAGACGTGTGGAAAAATCTGTTTTTAAGCAAAAAGACAAATCAGAAATAAAGTTTTATGAAAAAGCTGCAATTTTACAAACACCTGGCTCCATAAATCTTTTCTGTACTGAAGCAATGCGTAAGATTTGGTGACATCTAGTGGTGAAGTGTCGAACTGCAACCTCCACGGCAGGTCTGCTACTTTTTTGATCACTACAGTAAATAAAATGTACCCAGAGCCACAAAACGACTAAAACTGTGGTTATCAACTGGTGGCTCATGGGCCACTTTGAGGTTGATGGAGGGGACCTTTTCTGGCTGGTGAAGGTGACATTATAAAACTAAAATCAAAAATAATTTTGGTATTTATTTTTACATTTTAAGGCACAAAAAAAAATCACATTTATGTAATTGAGGAAAATTGTTATCAAACTGATTCACGTTTTTTTCTAAGCAACTTGTCCTAAAAATATTCCAAAGAATTTTTGGTGGACTTCAGAGACAGCTCCCCCTTTAAGGCTGGAAGTTAGATAAATGAAATGAATAAATTTAACCAATATATTTTGCTTTTTGAACTAGTAGTGAAAATTGCTAAAACTAGTCTTTTCTGTTGTGTAAAAAAAACAAACAATAAAATAAACGTCATGTTCGTTTTCAGTCAAAGCTTCAAGATGAGGGACAAAAGAGCTGCATGTGACCTCAGAGCTGCAGACCCCTGCTCTACAACAAACAACAAATACAAGATAATTATAAAACTATAAGGTTCAGTGGTGATAGACAATAGAAGACTTGCTGTAAGGAAACAAAAAAATAATAGATCTAATTTCAAAACCATATATATTTTACGTATCAATAAGCAGCATTTCACTGACTTAATTTAAAAATAACTAATAAGCTTTAAAATATTTACATAAGACACCACATTGTTGTTTCTTCTGTCACAAATCAGTAATTATATTAGTAGGAATTCATAAGTTTTAACTGAATTAATTTATTAACAAAAATCATACAGTAAATATTTTAAGCTTAAAAAATACACTCACAACTTTTACTTCAAAAATTCCACTTTTATAACCAACACATATCCTCGTTCTTTCCATAATAAAATATTCAGGTATACATTCATTCAATAAAAATAATTTGAATAAAATGGCTAATGAAGCAACTTTCATATATAAATGTTGACTAGGACGTCATTTCATACAATTTCCTTCCTTTGTCATCACAATGACACCCAACCCACCCCCAAAAAATAAAATAAATAAGAATTTTGGTCTTTTTCAAAGGTTTATGGTTTATCTGACTTTCATCTTGTTTTACCCACAGGGTTTAACATTTCTGTTTTGTCTTTTTTAACAATATTTTATTTTAAAGTCAATATTCTAATTCAAAAGGAACCAAACCCCTTTTATTACTTCTCAACCCTTCAAAAATATCACATTTCATTCTCAGCATAAATATAAACTCTTTTGCACATACAAAAATATTTAAAATAGGATATTACTTGAATATACTATAAAAGCATGGAATAAAAATCTTTGGTTGGTTGCCACAAAACGCTCCTGCACTTTGTTCCTTCATTTGCAGGTCACATAAGATTGATTTCTACAGCTGCTCTGATGAGGCTCAACGATAACGTCAGGACTCCCCCATGTGCTCACAGAGAGTAAAGACAGATGAAGAAAAGCTGCATGAATGAGACTAAAACAAGATGAACTCATCCTTGTTGGCAACGTAGTGACTAATGTAGGCAAAACATCACATTAATGATGAAAATCTAGAGTAACTTGGCACCATCTATATGAAGTAAACAGCAGCTGGAACCGTTAATTAAATATCTCTAAATAAAATGGACGCCAGGTTAGAAAAGTAAATCCTCACAGGTTACATGTACAATACTCTGATTATCGACTTTACTTTAAAATGAATAGATCACGGCGTCTAAAAAAAGTCGCAGATTGGAAATTTCCATCGTATTCCTGCTTCCATGCGACTCCACGTTAAATCCTGGTGTTACTGCCATGTTCGTGCTGTACTTTGAAACACAAAGCTTTACACAAATGTCTTCCTCGCTCCAAAAGTGCTTTATCTTTTCATGTTTATCCGTCTGCACCGACTCTAGTGTGCAGCACATGTGCAGCGATGTGTCGCAAAAAGCCATAAAAACTCTGGTGGGGTGCTGCGCATGTAAACGCAGCCACTGATATGCTGCATTAAAAAAAACACATACAAGTCTAATGATCTGTATTAATGTTTGCAGGAGCCAACAATGTCAATCACTCAAAATGGGTTTGGCCTCACTTCAGCACCTAAGCAGTCTGAATAGTCATGTCTACAGACAGCTTTACAATAATAGCTTTAAAGACATTTGGAGAATTATGATTATAAAAATAAATTCATTTGTATAACTGCTGCGCACATGAAGTGTTAAATAAGTCACTGACAAGTGTTACTGCTAACGTGGAGCTGTACGGTCTGTTGGGGAACTGGAGGAAAGCTTTCACCGCTACAGGTACGTATCATGTTCAGAGTTGCTCACACTCTCTTTGGACCCCTGTATGATCTTGTGCTTGAGACGTGGGGACGGGTCAGTGGAAGGAGCGTAAGGATTAAACACTTCATTAGGAGGGAGGACCTCTGTGTGTCCATTTTGCTTTTTAGGGTTTCTCCTCCCCCTGGGTTTGTCTGTGAGCACCTCGTCTAGCTGGGACGCCAGGGGAGACTTCACGATGATAGTAGGCCTCTGCTTCAGCTCCTGACGGCTGGGTGGCTCAGCAGTCATGATGGCTTTAGCTCCGTGCATCCTTGGAGGGGATTTACTGTGGAGATCTCCATGAGCCTCCTTCCAGCGCCGCAGCTGAGCTTGGTGCTCCTTCTCAATGTCTTTCTCAGACACTGGTAACTCTATAATCTGAAACACAAGACCAAGATGTGACTTTACAACATTTTACAGCCACGTAAGAAGGAATTCTGGATCCAGATGAGCAGCTGGATGAGCACTAGGTGCAGGGTCAAAGTAGTAAAACTGATAGTAGGTTTACAACAGAGCATAAGTACCTCGTGCACCAGAAAGGCTTCGTGTGTGTATTGCGGCTGAATGGCTCGGAGCAGCTCCATTGTCTCATAAAAACCTTGGCAGGACTTCAGCTTCTCTTGGGTTCCCAACACGAATTTCAGGAGAACCAGGCCCACTCTGAAGAGGATCTTCACTCCTGAGAGCAGCACATTAAAAAAAACATGCTGCTTATGTGAAGAAAAGTGACGTGATGTAGTAACTGGGTTTATTGTAATACTTGGAACTATGATGAGGCTATTTGAATCGATATTTAACTCGAATCATGATGTGTATTCAGTGTCCCAAAATATATTATTTAATTGAAACTAAGACATAAAATTATGTCTAAAACATTTTAACAATTGAAGACATTTCTTAGTTTCGACGTCACAATGCACGGAGAGATTTTTATACTTTGACAGCAGGCAACTAAGACAGGAGATGGACCAAAACTTGAACATTTTCACAAAAAATAAGCCATCTGTGTCTTTTTGGACCTACTTTTTATGGTGAATACATTTGACGTTATACGATTTATCATTAAAAAAAGCAACACATTGGTAGTCATACAACATGGACATAATGTTAAAGCAAGAATGGGTCCGCAAGGCCCCTCATGTGACAGAACTTTTTCATCACGATAACAAATTTTGCTGGGCGACTGTCTCAAATTATTGCGATAAATGATAATATTGTTTGAAATTTGACAATAATTAGTAATTATTGTTAAAAAAAATAAAGTTGGTTAATTTATGTGTGTAGTACATTCTTTGACCACTGGATGGCAGTATAAGACTGAACTGAAGGATGGATAGTGAGGGAGCAAGCAGCATGTCTAAGAAAAGTGAGAGGGAGGCCCCTTGAGTGACATGGGTTGTATCTTGTTCCTGTTTTTCGGTTCTCAAAATGGCGTTCGCTCTGTGCGATTTGAGCTCTTTAGCATAGCATTTTTCACACAACGCTTTTAATAAAAAAAAAATTAAAAAAAACAGTAAACAAGTTCTCAGCTTCTTTTTGCAGGGAAAAAAAACAAATTTTTAGACAAAGGCACAGGTTTCAATTGTGAATTTTGGAGCTTCGACAAGACAGAACAAAAATTCTCCTTCAATAGGATACACATTTTTTTAGTATTTCCAACATCAGAGCTAAAATTTTCAGTAGTTAAGACATTTAATAATCTAAGAGGTTTTCTTAAAACGTCACCCCAGTCAGTAACTTATTTGTTTCATCACATCTATTGTTCTTCTCTGCTTTATGCAAACACAGGGAAATGTTTACCATTTGCGCATGTGCAGCACATTTATCAGTGATGGTTTGCAACCAACAATGTCGCACAAAACTTCTCTCCATCTGCTCAGTCATTTTTATTTCCACTGATGATCAATAAAACAGACAATCTTTGCTAGTCTCATTCATATTCTCAGCAGAAAACACTTTAAATGTTTTTTCACCTTCATTAAACCATCATACATTTTGTTTGTGGCGCCTCACCCTCACAGAGGAACATGTCCCAGACCCGCAGCACCGAGGCCCACGGCAGAGTCCGGGAGAAAGCACACATGAACCACTCGGTCATGTACATGACAGGCTCCAGTTTGTGTTTCTGTAGGTGGCGGTGAGCCACAGGACACACCCGACGCAGCAGGGCGTACAGAATCTCCCCATCCAGCTGGATCGCCTCCTGTGGAAACAACGCAGAACTGCAGTGAGCAGAGAGAAACAACCGACTTCTCTCATTCTGCCTAATCTGATTATCGTGTCATTGTCAGCACCGAGCATTGCAATGCTGTTAGCTTATCGTTAAGCGAGAGACATACTTGCCTGACAAGTCTGACACCAACTTTTGTAACACATACCACACCGCAGAATAACTGGGATGTTTTAACTAAACTCGTTTCACTCACTAATTTTACTTGAACTTTAAAAAACGGTATATATCAAGAGGATAATGAAATTTAGATCTTTATTTAAAACATGTACATTGAATTGATTTTCTTTTTTTTTTGTTCTTCTTTCGGCTGGTGTTGCCACAGGAAAGAAAACTAACTCGCACAAAGACCTGGCAACTTTTTTTAATGCCGGATGCCCTTCCTGACACAACCACAGACCACCGAGCCACCACAGCCCTCTGTGTGGAGCAGAGATCTATCTAGGGTGCTCAGGGGAGCAGACAGTGGGAGTTAATGGTATTGCTCAAGGGCCCAGAGTGGGTGCTTCACCTTTCCCACCCACATTGATTTTCTTTCAAATATGTAGTTTTAGAATTTGTGGGGGAAAAACAGTTCTGAATCATAAACTTTAAATGATGTTTGTTGCCTCTTGCCTTTAATGAACAACCTTTCCATGAATTTAATGGGTTCAGAAAAGATAATGATTGACACGCTAAACAAGTTATGCTGACATGTTTGTTTTATGACATACCAGCCCTGTGCTGTAGTATCCAGGAAGGTATTTTTCACAGATCTGGACAAGAACCCAGAAAGCATCCTAGGACAAAACAAAATGAACGTGTTAATAAAAGAAAATCATGAAGTTGAAGTCAGTTTTTATGAGGAGACATCTCAACAGAAAACGAACGCGCTTCACCTCAGCTGGCATGTGCATTAGGAGTACAGCAGCGATGGGCGCCTGAGCCTGACAGTAACCTTCTTCAGGTCGATGCAGCGTGTAAGCCTTCAGCACGCGGAACAGATCCTGCTGCCTATACATCAAAATATGCAGCATACTGCTTTTAAAAGCTCCACTCAGCCCATAAAGATAAATACAAGAATCTTAATAGACTTTAGAACAAATGGCTTACCCGTGACCTCCTCTGGCTGCAAACATTTCATGGAAAGGAAACTGTCGATGAAGGTCCCTCTCAATTATATCGACCCATGTGGGATCTCCCGGCTGGTTGTCCATTTCCTAAAACAACATTTTCCTTTTCTCATTAACTTTTTTTATTTATTTATCTAAATCAAGATATAACTGAAGTGGCAGCTGTATCAGCATTAAATGATTTCAAATGAACAATCCCATTTAGATGCCAGCTTGTGCAGAATACTACAGTAAAAACTGACAAGAATAAATAACTTAGCATTTTCTGGTTTATAATGATGTGCACAGCCTAGTTGAATAATACATATAACATGCTTGGGTTTGAACAAGGACCATAAATTTACAACTGACCTCAAACTTGCCCTGGTTTTGCTCCCTTTTCACTTTGCCGCCAGTAAGGTAGAGCCAGGCCCGGCCTCGCAGGGACGGAGGAATTCCTTTCTGACAGCGCTCTTTCACCTTTTATTTAACAAACATGGTTATTTGTGAGCCTGCACGACTCTTTATTAAAACATTTAGCAGTGGTGGGCACAGTTCCACGAATCCACTAATAGCGGAACTAAATTGGCGTTTAGTGGATTAGTGTTTTCGCTAACTTTTAATACTTTGAGCGAAAATGGCTTCCTCTACATTTAATTCCAGTAAATTCAAGTCCAGTGTTTTTAAAGGCAGTTCTCCGCAATAAAAGCGTACAGGAGAACGGTGATTTACACAGAGTGATGCAATGCTATGCAAAGGTAAGCACACCCGGTGACGTCACCAACCTCGCAGTGCTTTTTTTACCTCCTCATACCCACCACAAACAGTCTCTGACTCATTAACAGTTTACAGCCAACAACGAAGACTTTAACATAAATGCCAAACCAACCAGAACAGGAAAACATGATTTTTTTTTTCCACACTCAAATATTGCACATATAATTCCTACCCAGCATGCTTTGCAATGATCACACTGTCTCTGGGATGCAACACTCTCACACATCTTTACTTTAATACAAACAGATTTATTAGAGAGAATAATGATGACACACAGCAAGTTTGTAGTCAAGTTAATAAAAGTAGTTAACCACAAAGAGGATTGCTCAAGTGAGTTCATTCATGTAGTAAATGACAAGGGATTAGTCTGACACACTGAATGCATCACTCTGCTTCAACACAGCAGAGTTTTGCTCCGCCTCTTTGGTTCCGATGAACCAGATTAATTTCTGAAAGGTCACCTCTGAACGGGACATGGACACTTCTTGTGATTTATGAACCGTTTTGTGTTCACTTACAACGCTGTCACATAGACAGTCTTACAACATCAGTGACAGCAGTGCAGTGTTTCCTCTTCCATTATCCAAGGAGGGCGCCCCACCTTGTCAACAGAACTGAATGCCCTGCTTACTGAAATGTCCTTCCCCCCATTTTTTATCTGTTTTGTGCTAGCAAAGCTAATGTTTTTAAGTTAGCAAACTAGCAGTTAGCGAAACAATTTATTTTATTAGCTGTGCCCACCACTGACATTTTGTAACATTCATTTAAATGTCGTTGCAGTAAAAGCCTGAATATATAACTTCAAGCTTCTGTTGATGCAGTAAGTACTCTGTGGATTGGTTTGCACTGCACCTTTTTGTGTTTTTTGGCCATCCATTTGTCCCAGCTCTTCAGCATCTCCAGCCATTTCACTTCTCGCTGCCTCAACACCTCAGATGGAATCAATTCAGCACTGGGAAGAAAAACAATAAAATAGCTATAAGCACGCAGATAATTTCCAAAGTAACAATGGCTTCACTGTACTCCCCTGCAGTTATGACAGGAGACTTTTGTCATTAGACGAGGGAGGAAAGGGGCTCATCTCTTCCTTGTACATACAGGAAATTTTCCTCTAAGCAGCTGAACACTTGCCATCAGGGTGAAGTAGAAGAAAAACAGGAAGTTGTGGGGAACGTTCCCATAATTTAACTAACAGCCTTGGACAAAGATATATCTTTGCACTATAGCCCTAACAAGAATACAAGCTGTCGCATTGCTAATCTTGAACAACAACATTGGAGCTATGATTACTTTCATTTTCAAAGTTATCCAAAACTCCATTTGAGAGAAAGCAATGTACTTTACACTCACTGGATTATTGTGCAGCTGTAAATATAAAAATCTAATTTTAAAAGATTTACTTAATTGCAATCCAAACAACTGCACTTCCTATATACCACCTTTCTGGCTCCAAGGTGATGAATATTGATGCAATTAGAATGGTTCACTAACTTTTTAGCTTCATAAACCAGTAGGACCAGAGACTAGTGCATGTTAAAATACATCTACATTGCTAATAAACCAATTTAAAAAAAAGGAGCAAGACACCACAAACAGACTCTACATTACTTTTACAATTTTTTCATGTATTTAAAGCTACTGTTTTTAAATCTCTTGACAGTTTAGTTAAAAAGGGTACGATCAGTCTGCTGTTGAAGATTCTCAGTCATCCAGGTCATGGTAAGTTAAAGAAAAAGTTAAAAAAACAAAAACAACTGGACTTCTATTCTAACTAGATATGACCAGTCAATTTGGAAACTCAATTTTGCTTTTTGGAAGTTATCGTAAAATGTATGCAGCAAGTGGTGCAGTGGGTAGAGCTGCCACCTCTCAGTGAGAAGGTCACCAGTTCAAACCCCAAACCAAGACCTTTCTGAGTGGAGTGTGCATGTTCTCTCTGTGCATGCATGGGTTTTCTCCAAGTACTCCAGTTTCCTCCCACAGAAGAAACATACATGTTAGGCTGCTTGTTAACTCTAAATTGTCCCTAGGTGTGAGTGAGAGCGTGAACGGTTGTCTTGTTTGTCTCTATGGCCCTGTGATGGACTTACAACCTGTCCAGGGTGTACCCCACCGCTTGCACATTAACAGCTGGATATGCAGTGGAGGCTCGATCCAAACTTTAGAAGCCACTGAGTTAACAAATAACTACTATACACATGATATTCCAAGGTACATCTTTACAAGCTAATAGTTAATCTCTCAATATTTAAACATTTTAAACAATTTGTTCAATTGTTCAACAAAGCTTATTAGTACACCATATTTTTCTCCTACCCAAGCGCCAACAAAATATTTTTATGATGCCTATTTCTACCTAACTTGCCTATGTTTGCATTCTTATCTTAAACCTAAAGACAAACATGTTTATTTTAACCCTGAGTTTGTTTACACACCGTGGTGGAGAGTTTGCCTAACCATACAACCAAATTAAAGGGAAATCTGACAGGTTAAAGCAATGGAATAGTCCTCTGTTGTTTTACTGGTGAGCTGCATTGTGGTGTGGTGGTTAGCACTGCTGCCTCACAGATATAAGGTCTCCAGTAGGGATATCATTTGGGGCCAATCTGTGTGAAGGCCTGGAGAGAATAAATATGATCTGTACAAACTGGAGACTGTACCTGTGAAATTTTAATTCATGCAGTTGGGTTAATTTATACAGACAGTCAAATGTGCTGACCATTCAAATACTGACCCAATAAGCAGGTCACACATTTTCTACCACATGTATTTAAAGGAATGTCAGTTTTAGCTCAATATGTGTGTTAAGCTGTTGAAATGGGGTAGCTGAAATGGAAATTAAACAAATGAAGTAATTTCAGAACCATGAATGGGTAAAAATAAACAGTTGACATAAAAGTTTTAATACACTTAACTGTGTTCAGCACACACAGGTGTAATTTAAATAATCACCCTGTCCTTTTTTTTTTTTTTTAACAAAATGTTCTCAGGATACTTTTTCTTTTATATTACCCTCTGTAAACCAGGAGTCTCCGGGAAACACCATCAAAACTAATGTCCTAAATGAAATGGACACTCACTTCTCTAGGGAGGACTGCTGAGCTCCTCCCGTGAAGCCGTACTTGTCCACCTGCCGGTCTTCTCCAGGGATGAAGCCGTTCGCCTCCGGCTCGGACCCAGAAATCCCTTTCTCGCTGTCCGTCAGCTTCTCTGCGTCGCCACGAATTTCGAGGCCATTGACCTGCTCGGTTTTTGCCATTTAATCGGCATTTACTTTTTGAGGATGCAGACGGCCAAGAGTCTCAAAACTTAAAGCACCTCGGAGCTCTCCATGCCGACGCCGACTGACTGACTGGTCAAAGCTAGCTAACGTTGCTAAGATAATTTATCCCCAAGTTGCTAACTCATTAGCCGCCTGAGAGTGACGTTTCTGTGTTAAATGTACTCCAAATTTACGCTTTCGTACACTATTGTACACGGTTAAACCCCAGAAGACTAAAGCTACAGTAAGAAACACAAATTATAGCTCGGTGTCTACGCTAGCTCTCAAGTTTACATGCTAACTCCGAGGCTAACATGCTATCACCGCACAGCTGTCAGCTGACCTACAAGCTTTCTGTCGAGATTCTTTGCTGTCAGCAAGAATGTGATTAAGCCTCCAGGCTAAAGGAAGAGAAACTGCTTGTTTAGTAAACAAACCGTAACACCATAGCTCCCTTCTGCCACCTAGTGCTGAAAATCATCTAAATTTCTGTCAAGAAAAACACTTCCGTTCCAATTATTCAACCCAACTTTATTTATAAAGCACTTTTCAAACACAAATGTTGCTCAGTGCTTAACAAACCCAACAAAAATATGCATTACATTAAAAATTAAATATACAGTTCATAAAATAAAATAATTAAAATAAATAACTGAAAATATAGATAGATAGATAGATAGATAGATAGATAGATAGATAGATAGATAGATAGATAGATAGATAGATAGATAGATAGATAGATAGATAGATAGATAGATAGATAGAAACCAGATTCCAAAAAAAGTTGGGACACTAAACAAATTGTGAATAAAAACTGAATGCAATGTGGAGGTGTCAACATCTAATATTTTATTCAGAATAGAACACAAATCACAGGTCAAAAGTTTAAACTGAGAGAATGTATCATTTTAAGGGAAAAATCTGTTGTTTCCAAATTTCATGGCGTCAACAAATCCCCAAAAAGTTGGGACAAGTCCATTTTTACCACTTACAACACTCAACAGACGTCTGGGGACAGAGGAGACCAGTTTCTCAAGTTTAGAAATAGGAATGCTCTCCCATTCATGTCTAATACAGGTCTCTAACTGTTCAATCGTCTTGGGCCTTCTTTGTTGCACCTTCCTCTTTATGATGCGCCAAATGTTCTCTATAGGTGAAAGATCTGGACTGCAGGCTGGCCATTTCAGTACCCGGATCCTTCTCCTACGTAGCCATGATGTTGTGATTGCTGCAGAATGTGGTCTGACATTATCGTGTTGAAAAATGCAGGGTCTTCCCTGAAAGAAATGACGTCTAGATGGGAGCATATGTTGTTCTAGAACCTAAACATAGTTCTCTGCATTAATGGTGCCTTTCCAGACATGCAAGACATGCCACAAGCGCTCATGCAGCCCCATACCATCAGTGATGCAGGCTTCTGAACGGAGCGTTGATAACAACTTGGGCTATCCTTGTCCTCTCTGGTCCAGATGACATGGTATCCCAGTGTTCCATAAAGAACTTCAAATTGTGACTCATCTGACCACAGAACAGTCTTCCATTTTGCCACACCATTTTAAATGACCCCTGGCCCAGTGCAAACCTCTGAGCTTGTGGAGCTTGCTTAGACATTTCTAAGCAAGCTTCCTCTTTGCACTGTAGAGTTTCAGCTGGCAACGGCGGATGGCACGGTGGATTGTTTTCACTGACAATGCTTTCTGGAAGTATTCCTGAGCCCATTCTGTTATTTCATTGACAGTGGCATTCCTGTTTGAGGTGCAGTGATGTTTAAGGGCCCGGAGATCACGAGCATCCAGTAGAGTTTTACGGCCTTGACCCTTACGCACAGCGATTGTTCCAGATTCTCTGAATCTTTTGATGATGTTATGCACGGTTGATGATGATAACTTAAAAGTCTTTGCTATTTTACACTGGGTAACACCATTCTGGTATTGCTGCACTATCTTTCTGCGCAACAATGGTGGAATTGGTGATACTTTTACCATCTTGGCTTCTGAGAGACACTGACACTGAGAAGCTCTTTTTATACCCAATCATGTTGTCAATTGACCTAATTAGTGTTAATTGGTCTTCCAGCTGTTCGTTATGTGCACAATTTCCTTTTTCCAGCCACTTATTGCTACTTGTCCCAACTTTTTTGGGATTTGTTGACACTGTGAAATTTTGAATCAACATATTTTTCCTTTAAAATGTTACATTTACTCAGATTAAACTTTTGATCTGTCATCTATGTTATAGTACGAATAACATATTGACATTTGCCATCTCCACATCATTGCATTCAGTTTTTATTCACAATTTGTTTAGTGTCCCAATTTTTTTGGAATCCGGTTTGTACAAATGCCACCAACACTATTTATAGTGGAGGTGGTGTGCTGCTGACCTCAACTCGGGATGTCCTGGGTCAGTGAGCAGAATACTTAGAAGACCTCCTCAATCCCACCGGCACGTCTTCGACTGAGGAAGCAGAGCCTGGGGACTTTGGGTTGGGCTCTCCAATCTCTGGTGCTGAGGTCACCGAGGTAGTTAAAAAGCTCCTCGGTGGCAGGGACCCAGGGTTGGATGAGATTTGCCTAGAGTTTAAGGTTCTGGATGTTATGGGGTTGTGTTGGCTTACACGACTCTGCATTATTGCGTGGACATCGAGGGCAGTTCCCTTGGATTGGCAGACTGGGGTGGTGGTCCCCCTATTCAAAAAGGGGGACCGTAGAGTGTGTTCCATCTACAGGAGGATCGAGCTCTTAAGCCTCCCTGGTAAGGTCTATTCAGGGGTTCTGGAAAGGAGGGTCCATCGGATAGTCGAACCTCGGATTCAGGAGGAGCAGTGCGGTTTTTATCCTGGTAGTGGAACACTGGACCAGCTCTACACTCTCAGCAGGGTCCTGGAGGGTGCGTGGTTGTTTGCACACCCAGTCTACATGTGCTTTGTGGACTTGGAGAAGGCATTCGACTACGTCCCTCTGGGAGCCCTGTGGGGGGTACTCCAGGAGTATGGGGTACCAGGCCCTTTGATACGGGCTGTTAGGTCCCTGTACGACCGATGTCAGAGCTTGGTCCGCATCGCCGGCAGTAAGTCGGGCTTGTTCCCAGTGAGAGTTGGACTCCGCCAAGGTTGTCCTTTGTCACCAATTCTGTTCATAACTTTTATGGACAGAATTTCTAGGCGCAGTCAAGGTATTGAGGAGATCCGTTTTGGTGGCCTTAGGATCACTTCTTTGTTTTTTGCAGATGATGTGGTCCTATTGGCTTCATCAAGTCGTGATCTACAGCTTTCGCTGGAGCGGTTCGCAGCAGAGTGTGACGCGGCTGGGATGAGGATCAGTTTCTCCAAATCCAAGGCCATGGTCTTGAGCCGGAAAAGGGTAGAGTGCCCTCTCCTGGTCGGAGGTCCTGCCCCAAGTGGAGGAGTTCAAGTATCTCAGGGTCTTATTCACGAATAAGGGAAAAATGGAGCGCGAGATCGATAGGTGGATAGGTGCAGCATCGGCAGTGAAGCGGGCGCTGGACTGGTCTGTCGTGGTGAAGAGAGAGCTGAGTCAAAAGGCAAAGCTCTCAATTTACCGGTCGATCTACGTTCCTACCCTCATCTATGGTCATGAGCTTTGGGTTGTGACTGAAAGAACGAGATCATGGATACAGGTGGCCGAAATGAGTTTTCTCCCTAGGGTGTATGGAATCTCCCTTAGGGATAGGGTGAGAAGCTCGGTTATCCGAGAGGGACTCAGAGTAGAGCTGCTGCTTCTCCACATCGAGAGGAGCCAGTTGAGGTGGCTCGGGCATCTGGTTAGGATGCCTCCTGGACGCCTCCCTGGTGAGGTGTTCCGGGCACATCCCACTGGGAGGAGACACAGAGGAAGATCCAGGACACGCTGAAGAGACCATGTTCCTTGGCTGGCCTGGGAAAGCCTTAGGATTCCCCCAGAGAAGCTGGACCAAGTGGCTGGGGAGAGGGAAGTCTGGGCCTCCCTACTTAAGATGCTACCTCCGCGACCTGACCCCAGATAGGCGGAAGAAAATGGATGGATGGAAAAATAAATTAGAAGCAGACCTTTAGTTTAATTGTTTCAATTCTTATAAGAAACTGTTTCTACAATGCTATATTTCCCCCCCCTTAAAATCTATAATACCTAACAGATGTGACAGCAGCTCCAATTTTTGTGTTTAAAGCAATTTGCCCCCAAAATACAGAAAATGTGATAGAAGTTGCATAGACAAGATAAAGAACATGGTAACAAACTGATTATTGGCGTGAATTTTGTCTGAATTGGTTTAGATTGTGTAAATAAAACTTAACTTGATCTCCAGATCTCTGAAAGTATTTCTACAATATTCAATTTTAAATGTTAAAATACTGTGCGACAAGTATCTGCTGGCCACCCTACTTTTGATAAATACATTTACTAATTGAATTTTTATGTATAGGAATGTATTTGTTCAGTGCCCTGCATCCATTTTGACTTAGCTCTATATAAACAAACTGAATTTATTTTTCATGTTCATTTATTTGAAAATTTACTCAAAACAAAAAAATCCTTAAGATTAATTTTTAGACAACCCCCCCCCCCCCCCACACACACACACAAATGAGTTGCTCTAAATTGATAATTATGGATGTATTACATTAACTATATGAACATTCAATGGTTTTTTTTGTCTTCCAAGTAGGCACACATTATTTATGTAAAACTGAAATATGTGAGGAAAAATATAAAAATTGTAGTAGAAACTTTTTAAATCCACCCTTCTGGTTGATTAGTGCAAGCAACAACATTCATATACTTTAACCTCTATATAATAAACATTTTTTTTTATTAAATAGTAGCTTGAAGAGAGGTGAATGTACTCAAATTAAATATTAGGTATTACACATGTACATGCGTATAAACTTTTCTCAAAAAAAAAAAAAAAATTCAAATTGTATCACTATGCTAATATCTTTTCCTCAGATTAGTTTCTGTATTTGTGTCCCCTCAAAATCTCGTTAAACACGACTGGATGTAAAACAAACACTCAAACAGGTTTAGTATAAATACTAAATTCTTTATTTAAATATTGTACACATTTTAAAACATACCAGTATTTACATCAGTTAGACCTGCATTGTTACACTGCAGAACTCGGTGCATCTTTCAGTTCACTGGCTAGAAAGCAAACAATCATACCATCAGACTGCAGAAGCACCTTTGAGAACGGCTCAACGGGGAGACGGGGTTTGTGGGGTGGGACGAGGACACTGCATTAACGTCTAAACACGGGAACACACATGGGATGAGCTTGCAATGGCAGGAAAGGCCCCTTGATTTACAGGTCGAGCTTTTAAGGCTGGAAACTGCTCACCCTCATAATTCAAAGACAAGACCGGACTCTGAACTGGAAACTAGAGGAAGATACAAGAAATGCTGAAAGAAGAGGGCAAAAGGAAAAAATAAATAAAATAACAATGTATCATTTTGTCTATAGAAAAGGACGACCAGTTAAATATGATGGCAGCATAACCCAACTTTGATTGTTCTCCTGCTCTCTACATTATCTGTGAACTGACAACTCTAACGCAACACTCAAAATTCTACTAGATGCTTCTGCGCTATAAAAGTAATTTCTACGAGTTACAAAAAACAAAACTATGGAAATGTTTGTGTTCTTTGACCGCTGGATAGAGCTGGACTCAAATCAGGATTTAAAATATGGCTTTCTGTTTTTTTTGGTTACTTGTCTTATATTCCCAGACAACCAGTTAAACCCTGGAACAAATATATTACAACTATTAATCTCTAACACCTTTAAGCCTCGAAATACATGTTTTACTCTGAACTTGTCACGCAGCTCTGAGCATAAGAAGCTTACAGTACTGCTGTTCGATTTCGGATTTAAAAAGAAAAAGAATGATGCACACAAAGAGTGTCTTTGGTGTTAAAATGTAAAGACTTTTAAGACAAAACAGTATTATCAGCGTTTTTCTGAATGATGTCATTTGGTGAAATCCAGCACGTCCATTTCCACACACATACAACACCATGTTCACATCAACTCTTAGAACTCCAGTTTCTATTTTTTAACCATTTAACATCTAATAAAATCCGTTCATACCCCCCCACCCAGATGCTTTTTAGCAATAATTTACTGTTTATTTCACTAAATTGGATAAATGTCACTTTCATGGAAGCAAAATTGGTTACTACCGTTACTTTACAGTTACTTTAGGTTAATTAGACATTTCATCAGTGATACTTTTTATTACAGCATTAACCAAATTTTAATTAGGCCTGTCACAACAACAAATTTTGCTGGGCGATTAATTGTCTCAGAAATTATTGCGATAAACAATAATATCGTGAATTTTGAAGCTTTGACAAGACTGAGGTGCCCCCCCCCGGAGGGCGGCCAGTTAGCTTAGCTTCTTTTAACGATTCGTAAATGCGCTTTTGGACGGTTAAAATAGATTTTAAAGAGAAAGGGAGGGGTCAGTAAAGAGCACAGGAGTTGAACCTTTTGTCATCCAGTGTCTTCAGTAGAAAGAGAGAGACGTGAAGAAACGATAAATGAAAATGAGGTTGATAATTTTCATTTATCATGCAATTAATCGATTTGTTATTTATTGTGACAGGCCTAATTTGAATCCCCTATAATTTACACTAAATATAATAGAAGCTCCACATAAATTATCTTGCAGTGTTTGAAGAAAAAATGATTTTTCCCCAAACAAAACAGCAGGTTTAGTAGCTAAAGTGACATTTTCTTTCATGCAGCCATGATAAAAGATTTAACTTTACAAGCATCTCCGTACGAAAGTGCATCCGAACCTTTCCGAAGTATAACGCTTAACGTTCATTAGGCTTGAACATGTAGACGTTTTTCAGCCTCTTTCATCCCCAACGGTTGTTTTATACAACCCCTGTGAAGTTAGCATGCTACTACAAATCGTTAAGGTGAGACGACTTGATGTGAGACAACTGACTCTACAGATACTTTCACTTTGAAAGCCACTTTCTAAAAAATAAAATAGCTGTGCGCATGTAGCAGCTCCACCAACAAATCAACCAGGTACTGTGTTCATTCCATTGTTTTAACATCCGTGATCAATACAAACGTAACCAATAACTGAATGCTGCTGATTTCACCAATTCATTAAGCCATTATTATTTTGAGTGTCGTGTGTAAAAAGGGCTTTAAAAGGCAAAGTTACAAACAAAAAAGCAGCAAATTAATATATAAGAAAATAAGGGATCAAAAGTAAAAAAAATACATAAACATGGCTAATTAATTTTTTAAGACAAGTCTTTTAGTTCATCCAGTTCACATTCTTCAGTGGTACTTTTCAAACGAAATAAGGTATAAAAATAAGGTTTCCCTCTTTAATTTGATTCCTGACTTATCACGGCAACTGTAAGCATTCCCAGAAGCTAGCTTTAGCTTAACGATATAAATATGTACATTCAACACACTTTAAAAAAAAAATCATCCCTACCACACAACGGACGCAAGAGGAATCGTTTTAAACATCTTGTTAATTTTTACCAATTGGAAGTCTTGGATTGACGGGAGTTCAATTCAAGCTGTTAACAAAATAGCTTTTTGCTTTAAATCAGTCAAAAAACAAAAATATAGCCCTAAATTAAAAAAAATATTTACAACTTATCAGGACGTGTGAGTCAAACGTTCCCTCAGCCGAGTGACAAAACCTGAATAACCTTCACGTGACATCTTAACAAGCTTCCTCTCTACAGATATGAGCGACGTGCTCGTTGACATTCCCAAACCCGAGGCACTACAACCCAACTCCCACATCTGTCATATCGGCACCCTCAGCCTAATCCATAAACACTTTTATAAAATGGGAACAAATGAACAATAGTGAGGTTCTATAACCAGCTCTAATGCTAGTCGGAAAAAGAACAAAACCCATGGCTTACTTCGTATTGTTGTGTTTTTATACATCAGAGCTACCCTCAAGTATCCAAACGGTCTTATGTGCGCTAAAAATCATCTGACAACAAGGTGAGATATGAGCGAGGCCGAAGTCAGCTCCTACCGCATCATGGTCAACATGAAAAATATCCCAGCTGCCTGCCGCCCCTCAACCGTTCCAGCACCACGTTAAAACAGAAGAAAACAAAACGCCACAAACATGGAGGTCAGCCACACAGTGAGGGGTGAGAGCCGTATTGGTGGGCCTCCCCTGTCAGCCCGCAGTGCATGTTGGGAAGGCTGCAGGTGAAAGACTCAGGCAGACGGCAAGAAAACATCAGTCCCAGTGAAGCAGACGCACTTTCAGTCTGTATATTCAGCCACTATAGACAACAGCACCGTGATATCATCTGGTTTCCCTCCTGTAAAGAAAGAAAGAATTAAATATCTTCAGGAAAACTCAAGAAGCCTTTTTTTTTTAAAAAAGTAAGAATATTGAGTTTACAGCTGTTATAATACGTGTAATGGTGTTTTGCAGTTCAACAAGAACACAGAAGGTATATTAAATGAATTCCTCACCTCTTACATTCAGGCCGTTATCACAGGCAAACTGTGCAAAAGGAGACATATAATTGGGATCGTAGGCGAGATCGTGAGCTTGCTTTGCGATACTCTGTGCAGTCTGCAGTACGCTGTCATAATTTGAAGTCTGGCGGGAGCAAACACCAGAACCATTAAAACGTGATAAATATTACACGGGTTGTATTACATGTACACATAAGTTGCTATCCAGGGGTGATACCTTCAGTTTTTTGAGCTCCTGAAGAATCATGTAGTCCGGCATGTTGTCAAAGAGCCCGTCTGTTGCTGTTAGGATGATGTCACCGAGCTGAACGTCAAAAGAGGAGCTGTCGGCTGCTTCAGGACTAGAAGACACAAGAGGACAAAATCAGTCATGTGACACCTAGAACCCAAGAAGTACTCTGAGTAACTAGCTACGATTTCTAATAAAAAGTTAAGCAGGTAAGGAGTGTGCAGCCGAGACGAACGCTGTCCTGAGTGTTGCTGCCAGATGCAGGGAGGCTCGTACTCACTGGCACCACAAGTAGGACTCAAATGTTACTTCCAAGGGACCCAATGTTCCTGCTAGACATCGAAAGGGTCTATATTAAGATGATATGCCGCAGCAATAAATCTAATAAATGCAGATCTGCTACATCTTGAACTTTAAAGCACTTTAGAAGAGCAGAGGTTAAACAGAGGAGTCAATAACCCAAGAAACACCAAAACTTTAAACAGTGGCTAAATATGAGAATTAAACTGCGATACTTAGTGACTTAGGAAAGGACATTTGTTAATTCTAGTCAATGCATTTTTAGGTGTTATAATTCTAAATTATAGTTAAAAACAATAAAATGGAAACAGGAAGCGTCAACAATGGCCAGTGACATCACCACGTTTTTCAAACCCTGTTATTTATCAAACCAGTTTATAACAAATAAAGCAGAACAATAGATTAAAAAAAACATTCAACATTAAAATACGCATTTTGTATTCACTTTAATCAGTTTGACAACAACCATACACCATCTATTAAAGATTTAAGCATAGCGAGAAACACTGTACTGTGGCAACAAAATAATAGAGCATTAAGTTTCATAATCCTTAAAATCTGCAACAAAATAAACTATGTACAATCATTTAAAGAATATTATATAATTGTCAGCTTTCTCTAGTGTTTGAATAGGCCTCTCAGTAAATATATCTTATTAAGCCCAGTTTAATTTAGCAGTTTGTTTAATACTGAGAAAAACAGAAACTATAAAGTGTAAGTTTTTGTTGAAAAAGTTTAAAAACCTCTTCTGAATTCAATTTTAGTAAAGACAACATGTCAGGTGGTCAAGTCTTAGTTTCTATTTTCTCACAGATTTTTAGGAGCACTTTTAGAAATATATTTTCAACTTCCGTTTACTCAACCTACTAACCTGTCACTGAGCACAACTCCCTCGGCGCCCGGAGGAGCGATGGACAGCTGGAAGGGCGTGTTAAAGTAGTGCTGCTGCTCATCTGAGCGGTGGACCACCTCTCCGCCTCGCACCACGAGGAAGCCGGAGTCTCCAAGGTTACACGTGTGAAGCCGGTGACTCCTTCGGTCCAGAACCACAATGCAGGCCGTGCTGCTTCCTATAAACACGGAGGCAAAACAATGACGAGTGGAAAACTGTGTAAAAGCAGGAGTAAGATTTGATCAAAACAGTAGGAAAAACAATAAGAAACACGAGCAGGATGAGAGAAATGCCTTGCTTTTGGATTAGGATGGGAAAACGTTAAATCCAGTTGATTTGTTGGTGGAGAGAAAAACAAGGTCACAGGTTGTTTCCCCTACTTGTCCCACTGACCGCAGCCATTAACCATCTATGCAACCTTGAGCAGCGATGGCTCAGTTCTGACCTTATCACAACTTTCCAAAACAAGTATTTTGCCAAATATCTCAGCTGTCACCGAGTTCGTACACCGGCTCTTGGACAGATACAGAGCCTCTGAAGAAATGTGACCATGGCCACATGTTTGACACGATGACCCTGCTATTAAAACTTTAACAACCGCCAGTATTATCGGTTACAGAGGGATTCTGAATCTATGTGATTTTGCTAGAGGGTACTCCACTTTTAAGACCTGCAGCGTTTAAACGTTTCCATGCAAACACAACAGAAAGAGCCTGATCGAGTTAGTTACCTCACTGATGATACTTAAAAATATCTGTAAGACTACCGCAATATTCCTCCATCTTTAATTTTACGCATCTTGCTGCAGTCCGTCTCATACTGCAGCGGTTTGCCTCCTCTTGTTCAGCACAGCTCACTTCAACAATGACCGTGTGTGACGGCTGTGAGGACGTTAGCAGCACATCCACTCACCTAGCAGCGGGACTTTGTTCTGTAGGAGCTCGTAGTAGCCCGACGTCAGAATACCCACTGGGTTACTGGGAATGAAGCGCCCCTCCTTCACCAGACGCTCACAGGTTCGCATCAAGGTGGCAGAGAACTGAGATGGGTCGACACCATAGTCCCGCCAACCGCCTACACCGTCCGCTACACCTGATGGAGAAAACAGGCTTATACATAAATATGTTGAGTTGCTGTGTCTACCAGAGTTACACTGACATAAACTGTTTTCAGGTTTAACCAGTGCTCAAAGATCTAATTTGTCTCTGAAATTATTACAGTGAGGAGGATGTACATGCCATTTCTGAGGTTGTAGCTGCTGTTCTCTTTTAAATTATCATCCATCAATAAACAAGTGACATATTTAAGACCATTCTTGTATTATATTATAATGTTTTCTTTTATTGTTTTTATGGCTGTGCTTCTGTCATTCATTGTGCAGCACTTTGGTCAACAATGTTTGTCTTAAATGTGCTTTATTGATTTGGTTAATCTTTTTGAAAACAATATAGAAACAATGAGAGAAATGTAAAAAAAATAATTATTATGATTATTGAGTGGTAATTTGCTATGCGTATAGTTATAGTACAATAAATGAAAAGAGCGGTTTTGATGAGGTTTTGTGAATTTTTTTTTAACAAAAATGTTAATGATAGTTCTTTCACATCCAAATTGGCAAGTCAGAGCATTTTTACTGTACTTTTTTATGGTTTTACAGCTGAGTTACTGGTCGCTTTATGGTTTAATAACGTTTTGAACTTGAGGTTTATCTTGCATACATATTTTTGTCTCTTTACACATGTATGTTTATGTCTGCTGCTGTGAATAACCAGTTTCCTTCAGGGATCAATAAAACATAATTTTACTCCATTTTATTACCAATATTGGAAATCCAACTCAGCCTATAAAGCTGCACTTGATCCACCACTAATGGATATTTATTGGGATTTTTGCAGAGCATTGATATTTGTTGCGCAAACCCTAAGTGAACACAACTAGAAACAAGATTTACTCCTTTAATTAAGCCCATATGAAGATGATTGTATAAAGATGAATAAAGAGAACTATTTCACATAGATCACACTGTGAGAATGAAAATTGAGTAAGAAGGGGCTGTCTAGTTTATTGTTATTCCACAGCTGCAACACCACTACCTCAAATAGAAACTAAAAACAAACTGGATCATGGCAATCCCCTAAGCATAAATTCTGCACATGTATAACCTACAACTGCTTGAAAACAATAAGCCTTAATAAACAATAAATAAAAGATTTTTTGTTAAAAGCCACGTGGATCGTGTGGCAGCTCGCACGCGCCGGCGAGGACAAAACATCCTGCGATGCTAGCAGGAGGCTAATGCGCTAGCAAACATGGCCGCCTCCACGCTCAACCATTCTGACCTTTGCGAGACATTGTTTCCTTAGGACGTTGTAACTTCACATTTCTCAGTCATACTCGTGTCCGACTGGGTCGAATTTGAGCCATTTCATGTCACACGTTTTTGAATTTTGACATCATCGCTGTGTATTTTCTGTCGGGAGCTAATCTAGGTGAAAGGTCATTAAAAGCCCGCACGCGAAACTTCCCGGTTCTGTTCGTGAATTAAGACGGTATCAGATGTTCTGCGCATTAAGCTATGTCAGTAACATCGAGTTATTATCAATCAGGAGTTGAAGCTGTGGATAATATTTATATAAAAGCTGTAAAATAAGGGGCGGTGAGGCAGCTCTGTTTGCTAAGGGTGGGTGGTTGTTGTGTTTTCGTCCGAGTTGTCCGTACGCACGTGCAGATCACTGAAGGTCACACGAGCGCAGAGCAGAGGGTGGTTAGCATGTCTTACCTAGAACATCCGCCGATCTGTACCGCGCTATGAAGCAGGCATCATCTCCGTAGCACATCCCTTTCTTCAGGATCCCCTTACGAAAGTCTTTACCGAAGCCATAGCTGGCGCTGATCAGGCTGTAGTCCCGACCGTCAGTCTGAGAGAGTCCGCCCAGGACAGCCCTGGCTACGAGTCTGCCATAAGACAGTACGGATAACATACCCCTAACAAGGAGAAAGTCCTTCCTGATTAGAGCCAGAACACGCCGTCCTCCTTCGTCTCTCCTCCGAGCAGCGCAACCGCCTGCGAGTGTTCAGGTCGAACTCGGTTAGCCGTCCATCAGGCTCCGACAGGCCCGCTGTTGTTGAAATAATAGTTGTGTGGAAGTGTCGCAGTTCGTACAAACGTCTCCGCGTGATGTCTATGTCTTGAATGTGTGTTTCACAGACGCTCCGGTTCCGCCGCTGGGCTCCCTCCGAACCGACATGTTGCTAGCGTACACTCAAAGCTGCGCGAGTACATACGTTTGGCATTTTACAACCATGACGTCAAAAGCCGTGTGCGTAAAGGTGGCTCCTCCCACAGATATCATATGGCTCCTCCTCCCAGTGAAGCAAGGACGAAGGAGACGTGTATGGCAGGTCGTTGTAACATACAATCAAACCACCGCTAATGCAGTACTTTAATAGATTTAATTCATTTTATTTAAATAGCACCGTTTCACAACAAAAGTCATCTCAGGTTACTATACGAACGTCCTTCTTCCACCTGCGTAATATCGCTGAAATTCGAAACATCTTATCTAAAAGTGATGCAGAAAAACTGCATGACTTTTCAATCAGAGTCAGAGTCAGAGTTTCTTTATTGTCATTCGCACCTCATGTGGTACATGTGGTGGAGCGAAATTATGTACACAGGGTCCCAGTTACATCCAACAATAAAATGTCTAAGAAAAACAGTAATAACATCTAAGATATGAACTAAGAAAAACATCAACTAAATATACACTAAGCACTCATAACATAAAACATTGAACATCGGCACAAACATGAACATGAGTCTGTGAGCAGATGTGCACGCATGAACACATCAACATTGAAACAGATCAGCAGCAACATGAAACAGATCAGCAGCAACATGATATGGTTTTTCACAGTGATTATTCTAGTTAGAGATTCATGAGTCTAACAGCCTCAGGGTAGAAGCTGTTCCTCAGTCTAGTGGTTCTACACTTAATGCTCCTTAACCTCCTTCCTGAGGGGAGTGGGGCAAAAAGTGTGTGTGCTGGGTGGGTGGGGTCCTTCATGATGCAGGTGGCCCTCTTCCTGCATCTGGAGGTGTAGATGTCTGTGATGGTGGGGAGGCTGATTCCAACAGATTTCTGTGCAGCCTTCACCACTCTCTGCAAAGCTTTTCTTTCTGCAGCTGTGCAGCCTCCATGCCACACATTGATGCTCGAGCACAGGATGCTCTCCACTGCACACCTGTAGAAGGAGGTGAGGACTGAGCTTCCCAGACCAGCTCGCCTCAGCCGTCTGAGGAAGTAGAGTCTCTGATGAGCTTTCTTGATCAGGCTGGTGGTGTTGTTGCTCCAGCTGAGGTTGTCATTCATGTGTACACCCAAGTACTTGTAGCTGGAGACCACTTCCACCGCAGATCCTCTTATGTTCAGGGGGGTGTAGGTGTTTTTGTTCCTTCTGAAGTCCACAATCATCTCCTTTGTCTTCTTCACATTGATGTGAAGGTTATTCTCTCTGCACCAGCTCTCCAGGTGTTCCACCTCTTGCCTGTAGCTGGACTCATCATTGTTTGTGATGCATCCCACCACCGCTGTATCATCTGCAAACTTTACAATGTGACAGCCTGGATGGGTAGCTGCACAATCATATGTGAGCAGAGTAAACAGAAGGGGGCTCAACACACATCCCTGAGGAGAGCCAGTGCTGAGAGTTATGGTGGAGGAGGAGAGGTTGTGGATCCTCACTAACTGTGGTCTGTTTGTTAAAAAGTCTAGTACCCAGTTGCAGATGGAGGGGCTTAGTCCTAGTGTGGATAGTTTGTCCATCAGGGTTTGGGGGATCATGGTGTTGAAGGCGGATGTGAAGTCCACAAAGAGCATACGGACGTAAGAGTTTTTCTGCTCCAGGTGGTTGAGTGCAGTGTGGACCACAGAGGAGATTGCATCCTCTGTTGATCGGTTCTCACGGTATGCGTACTGATGAGGGTCCTCGTTGATGTTGATGGTTGTTTTGATGTGAGTCATGACCAGTTTTTCGAAGCATTTAGCGACTATCGGGGTGAGGGCCACTGGCCGATAGTCATTCAGACCAGTCACTGTAGAGCTTTTTGGGACTGGGATGATGGTGGCAGTCTTCAGGCAGGTGGGAACTGTCTCCAGGGTAAGTGAGGTGTTAAAGATGTCTGCCAGCACCTCACAGAGCTGATCAGCACATTCCTTCAACACTTTTCCGGGGATGTTGTCTGGGCCAGTTGCTTTGTGCGGATTAATCCTCCTGAAGGTACTCCTTACTTCTGCAGTACAGTTCTACAATGGTGTGATATCTGGGTGTGCAAATACTTCTTCAAAATGTCTGTAATCCAAAATGCTGCTGCCAGAGTCTTAACTTGAGTTAGTAGGAGAGATCATATCTCTAGAGTTTTAGCTTCTCTACATTGGCTCCCTGTCAAATCCAGAACTGAATTCAAAATCTAACCTACAAAGCTCTTAACAACCTAGCTCCATCTTATATTACAGATCTTATTGTTCCATATTTTCCCAACAGAGCACTTTGCTCTCAGACTGCAGGTTTACTTGCGGGTCCTAGAGTTTCCAAAAGCAGAACGGGAGGCAGAGCTATCAGTCTCCTCTCTTGTGGAACCAACTTCTGTCCGTGTCACGAGGCTCCAGTTTTAAGACTGGGCTTAAGACTTTCCTTTTTGCTAAATCCTATAGTTAGGGTCGGCTTGGGTTTCCTGAGTTATCCCTTAGTTATGCTGCTATAAACTTAGACTGCTGGAGGACAAACTGACCACATTTTTTCCACTCTGCTACTGTCTTTACTCTGCTCAACCTGTTTTGTATTTGTAATTATTTTTTCTATCCTAACATGTGCTTTTGTCTTTCAGGTACACCTGCACCTATTTCTGGACCTACCATTCTGTGTTTGTCTGTCTCTCCTTCCTGTTCCTCTCAAACCCAGCTGGTCAAAGCAGATGGCCGCTTGTCCTGAGCCTGGTTCTGCTGGAGGTTTCTTCCTTTTAAAAGGGAGTTTTTCCTTTCCACTGTTGCCATTGTGCTTGCTCAGGATGGGAGACTACGATGAAGATTCAACTTGTCTGCTGGTTTCCTTAGATAGAGAACTTCTAATTGGCTTTTCTATGTATGTGAATGTTCCTGTAAAGTGCCCTGAGACAACTTTGATGTGATATGGTGCTATATAAACAAACTGAACTGAATATACAAAAAATAAGTCATGAATTCAGATAATTCAATTACAGTAAGTTTAGTTCTTACATTCACACAGCAGACAAAACATACAGGGGGTTAAAATTACAACTGTTTACAGTATAAGGTTATCAGGAAGGTGCATCTTTCATGACGAGTAAACGTAAGTGATGCAAGAAACAACAAGCCACTGCAGACATGTTCCTGTTTTTATTCTGCATCGCTTCAATGTAGCTGTTTTTGTTTTGTTTTGTTTGTTAATATAATTTTCTTCTATTTATTTTTCTCAAGTTATATGCTTTCTTTTATGATTGTCTACTGTTGTCATCATTCTTTGTTAAAAACAGGCCTCTCTTGTAAATGAGTCCTGGAGGCTCAATGACACTAACCTGTATAAATAAAGGTTGAGTGAATGATGTGCAGCAACGATAACAAAAACTATTTCTACATATGAAAAACAACTGCCTCGCTTTGTTGAACTCAAGCTGAGACTCACAAGCTCAAGAATAAAATTACCTTCACAATAAATTAAAACATATTTGGTTGAAGTCGAAGCGTTGTCGTTAAGATCGGCCTTTCCGGTTTTATGCGCGCTCCCGAAACAGCGGCGCACACATTCTTTTGGGGGCACTAACTTCGGCGCAACACGTGTTACACGCGCATTTGCTCTGAATAACGGGACCTAACGGGCTCCAGGCACACTGACACAAAAATCTCTTAAAATTGTCTCTAGAGGGCGCCCATACATACATGGAGTGTGGAATGTGACAAAATTATATAAATAAATACATCATGAAATAAATAAATGTAAAAAATGAATACAAATACAATGAAATGAATAAATGTACAATACATGTGCCATTAAATACCCACAGAGTCCCACTGAAATGTGCCAATCCGTTTTATTATATATTTATATTCGCTGAGCTAAAATGGCTCGTGCGGAAATTGTATATCCTGCACTTGCTTTCTGAACGTTCGACTAGTTACAGACGTTAAGCCCCAACAACGCGGGGCTAAGGAGAAATAGCGATTGTCTAGGGGTAAAATTACTACTGGTTTCGAAATTTTAAGATGAAAACGTTTAAAAAGATCGTAAAAATACGTCGGCTTTTATTTTTTTGTTTGAACCTGCTGGAGAGATAGCAACAAAATGTTCCCGCCCCCTGACTAATTCACAAACGGCGCTTACTGAACCTCAAACCGAGCGCACCTCGACTGGACGGAACCAAACCCAGCCTGTCGGACGCTGAGGGGACAAGGACAACAAACGCAGCTACACCGAAATAAACACATAAAAAACAACAACAACCAAATTACGGTAAGTAACGTGAGAAAATTAAGCGACGATGCTGTCATGTTAATTGCTGTGCGTTATCTAACGGAGAAGATAGAGCTAGGCTTTCGTTTGTTTTATTTTGATAAAGCTAATGGTTGAACAGAATGACGTATTGATGCAGCGATCTGTGATATCGATAATAATGGCACATTTATGCTTATTTAAATCATTCTTTTTGGATTATTCGAAGCATAAAGTATTAATAATGAGGGTAATCTTATTTAATCCTTCACCCCCATTCAGAAAAGGTCAAATTATTTTCCATTAGACCCAATGACTGCTTTAATATATAATTATCCAATGTGGCTTTTTAAACAATAAACATAAAGATGCACGCTTTGTCATATTAGTTTCTTAATTACACTTGATATAAAAGAATCAGGGCAAACAATGATTATTTTTGGGATTCCTAATTGTTTTTCTGATACTTTTTCTCCTTAAGGTCATGATGGGGAGGTTTTATGAGGTGGGGCTTTTGTCTCTTCTTATTTTGTCTCTCCTGAACACTGAATCAACATTGGCTAGAAAAGGTAGCAGCAGTAGCGGCAAGAAAACCTCATCAACAAAGTTGGGTGGGACAAAGACATCAAGCAGTCAGCCAGGAAACTACCCTCGACAGCCACAGAATCCCAATCACAACCCTAACCCGTACCCTCCTGGAGGAAGTTACCCAGGAACTGGCAACACTAATCCGGGTGGATATCCCAGGCAAAATCCAAGTCATCCAGGGGCTGGAGGCTACCCACACCAGAATCCTGGAGGCTACCCACACCAGAATCCTGGAGGCTACCCACACCAGAATCCTGGAGGCTACCCACACCAGAATCCTGGAGGCTACCCTGCGGGTGGATATCCTGCAGGTGGTTATCCTGCAGGTGGAGGATATCCTCAACAAAACCCTGGGAGAGGTAATTATCCTAATCAGTACCCTCCTGCTGGAGGCTACCCAGCAGGAGGGAACAACCCCAACCAATATCCAGGCAGAGGAGGATATCCTAACCAGTACCCTGCTGGAGGAAGTTATCCAAACACTGGAAGAAATTATCCCAATCAGTATCCAGCGGGTGGAGGCTTTCCAGCAGCAGGTGGCTATCCTAACCAATACCCAGGCAGAGGAGGTGGTTCTCCGTACCAGTACCCAGGAGGAGGTGGTTACCCAATCAGGACTGGAAGTACAGGACAGGGTTGGGGAGCACCTGGTGCAGGAGGTTACCCCTACGGTGGAGGAGTTGGCGGCTCCCCTAACTGGAACCCGAATAATAAGATCCTCAGTCCCAGGTTTGGTGGAGGAGGTTATGGATATGGGGGCTATGGTAGCATGGGCGGGTCCCCTTTCTCTCGTTCTGTGCAGAGCATGGGATATCAGCCCAAGTCGACAGGGTTTGCTAAAAAAGCCATGCTGGCAGCAGGTGTTGGAGCTGTGGCTGGAATGGCCGTTGGGTACGGGCTGGGGCGCTTCCCTCGCCCACATTTCAGCTTCAACAGCCCACAAGAAGAATACTACTACAACAACTACATGTACAATCGCTATGGCACCAAGTCAACGGATCAAAAAGATTACGGGCGGGATTACGTCTACAAGCCTCCTCCACGTGCCGAGTCCTACGAGGACTTCATGAAGCGCTGCATGAATAGGACTGACCTTAAAGAGCAGGGCAGCAGCTCCTCCACCACTAAAGCAGGCACTGATGAGGAGGATAATGACACGGTCAGCATTGAGGAAATTGGGTACCCAACCCTAATTGACCAAGTGAAGTCGCGACGCTGCGTGGAGATGTACATGGCCTACTCTGAGCAGTTCATGCAGGAAAAAAAGTTTGAGCCACATGTTCAGCAGTCGCCCAATAGCAGTCCTACGAGCTTCGGTGTGGTTCATCTTTTCACTTCCTGCTTTGTGCTTCTGTCCAGCATGCTCCTCCTGCAGTGAGGAAGAAGAGAAGCACACCTTTTGCGTACATCCTAAATGGATTTCCCCTGCCTCTCGTTATATCTGCATGTTCGATAAAAGCTTATGTATCCTCACAGCTAACTGTGTACTATGACATAATAAAACCAGGTTATGTTGCTGCAGAGTACCCGCAAATGATAACAGGATTAACATGTTTACTATCCAAAGAAGTTGGATTTGAAGGGCAGCATTCCACTAAAATGCTATATAGAGTTCTGTTTGTGTTGCACTAGATGCTCTTTATTATTGTTTTGCTCATAATTAAACTAAATTCAGTTTGGAGCACTCAATTCATAGAGTCGTTTCATAGTAATGCCACCTGGAACACAATAGATCGTACAAGTTTTTCACTTGAAATCAATTAAAAAAATTAATGGAAAATGTTAAACGCTCTGCTTAGTTCGCCTTCATCTTGTTGAATTTTTTATAATGTAGGTGGAGCCGTTTGAGGGCAGCGATTGGGTGATTCCATCTTATAGTCACAGTATTTTTATTTGGCTGTCAAGATAAAGCAGCTGATTTAATCACCCAACATTTAGTCTTCTGCTGTAATGTTTTAAAGATAAATGATGAACGTTCAGGTCAGGATGCCACCGCTGTAGGAAAATGACGTGATGCAGATTTTTGGTCTCGACCACCTTTCTAAACAACCCAGCTTCAACGCCGCGTGACTTTTCTTCTTTTATATGCAGCCACTCCCAGAGGCAACATATTTCCCATCTCTTCTAAAAGCTATCTGCTGATAGGGATGAAAGAAACAAAGCTGCTTTGATAAACCTACAGACCAGAGTAGAGCTTTGTAAATCGCTGCAAGACAAGAACATTTCAAAAAAGAGACTTTTCTTCATTAAAACTGATAAAAAAAAAAAAAACAAAAACAACTCGTGAAACAATCATTTTAACATTCTTTTGCTCCAAACTTTGGACCGTTGAGGAAATGTCACAACAGAAGAGGTTGTTTCACTTATTAAAACCATCAGAATAAGAGTGCAGGTTTTCTCCGTGTAAAATGTAGCGTTTACGTTTCTGACACAGTTTACTCAAATCGCTTTCCCTGAACTCCTGCATGTGAAAACCTCTGATGGAGAAAGAGACATCACTTGTTTTTGTTGCCTTTTCTTTTCTTTCGGCTGTAAAATAATCTTTAATGCTGTTTAAGAAGAAGTGCAATCAAATAAGTTTATTCTAGTTGTATTATATTTGCCACGTCTTTTTAGTTCTTGTGTTTGTCTTTAGCTGGAAAGCAGACTAACGTTAACTCTGATTTATTACTGCAGGAGAGGCAGATTTGATATTTTTCCTGGTTTTTTGCATCCTTCATGAAAATATTTCTGTCTTGAGTTTGACTTAAAGTATCTTTTGATCACTTGTATCTTCCTGCAGCACAGTGAGATAGTCAAAGGTCAGGTTTTGTTGACTTTGTAAATACTTTTTTGTTTTTATTCTTATGTGTGCACATTAACTTCCTTTAAGTTTTATGTTATAAAAAAATGCAGGTCTTTCATTCAGTTCAACCACTGATTTGATCATTTCTGGCTGTTTAAACCCCTGTAGACTAGAATATCTGTGAAGTGCACTTATTTCCCTGCAGAACTGGATATTCTGTAACTTTTAATAAGTGTAGATGTCTGGGTGATGCTTGCTTTTGTTTTTCCTTCAGACTTATGCTGGTGCACTCTTTATACACATCAACTAACATGGTTTGTTATGGAAGCTTATGCGTTTAATAAAATAAAGTTCAAAATAACTTATCGGTCCAATCCATTCATCCACTATCAATTTTTACACATTTTTTTAATTGTTCTAATAAATCTGGCTTAGTAGATTTTAAAATACTACAAGATTTGCTTGTTTAGCAGTTATGCACTGAGCAGTTTGCATTTTTTTGTAGGAAAATACAAAATATAGAGTTTATTGTTCCTAATTATAGGATTTAATTGATATTCACATGCATTTAATGATATTGGGTATTAAAAACTGTTTTCAGCTTCATTTCAATGCTATTGTTTTCACAATCTTTTCAGTTATTGTGAAGCAATAAGTTTAATTCATCGTTTGATAAAATGATCTATTACGTATTTCTTAGGCGTCTGGTGATTTTGCGTTCAAGAGGAAGCTAAAATCATAGAAAACGTGTCTCCAGTCATCTTTCTAGTATCGAATAGTTTAGAACAGGGGTCTGCAACCTGCGGCTCTGGAGCCACATGTGGCTCTTTGGTCCCTCTGCAGCGGCTCTTTCAGGCTTTGACCAAAACTAAAATAAAACTAAATTTTATTTAAATTCTTGTCAACAATGAAAATGGCTAGTTTTAGCAGATTTTCTGTCATTTTCAAATATGTGAATAATGGTACAAATACAGGCGCAAAAGATGTGCACTACATCATGCTAGGAGTTTTTTTAGCCACTTTGTTAAATCGACTTCCAGTCTCTCAACGAGACCTTTCTCTCAAAACCACCAGAATGTTTTGTAGTATCTAAGACGAGGTGCTGAGAAGGAATATGGTGAGTAACTTTGATAACACTAAGAATAAAACACAAAAAGCAAAGTCAAAGTAAACTAAAGTATTTATTTTACTTTAAAAATGTAACAAACTGGCCTAATTTTATACTTTTATGCTTTAAGTAGGAAACTTAATTCTCCAACAATTAAGAACTCCTGCAGAGTTCAGCATTTTAATTTTTATAAAATTGTGTATTTTTTTCTTTATTTACATGAAACTGATCTTTTCTTTTGTATTAAAATGTAAAAAATATCAATAAATGTTAATAATGGTTAGACTTTTTACTTTATATCACTCCCACTGGATGGAAAAGCCACGTCCAACAAACTTGTAGTGGCCCATGAGCCACCAGTTGACAGTACACAGTTGTAGCAGGTTTTTCGACTCTGGACACGTCACAATTATTAAGCAAAATGGCAAAAAAGGCTCTTTTTATCACAAAGGTTGCAGACCCCTGGTTTAGAACAAACATTTTCACACTGTATAATGTAATGCACACTAGGAAGAATTGGTTGTTGACAACTTTAATGTCACTTTTAAACTTCATGGGTCACATCATTTGTTGATAATCCAGGTCAGAAAAGGCACCACATGTCCGAGCGTGGGGAAGATGTTTCTGTTAGCCGGGGCGGCTCCTCTAACGAATACCTTCCACACAGACTGGTTGTGGTGTCTTTGGTTGTCCTGGTAATAAGGTTGTTGTTGCTCAGAGGCGACTGGCTTGTAATGGTTCCCAGTCCCGTGCTTTGGCTTTCCGAGGAACCCGAGGCCTGTGCCGCCCAACATGCCGGCCGCTGCTGCTCCTGCCCACTTCAGGCCCTGCTTGGAGAGGCCTCGACCCTGGGAGGGAGACGCTTTGTCACCGTCGCTTTTCCCACGACCCTTGAAGCTGGCCCCTCGCTTACCGCATGCAGCCGGGCACAGAGCTGCCACGAGCAGCAACAAAATCCAGAATGAGAGACGCCTCAGCCGGGCAGCCATCACCGGAGAGCTGCAAACACCACAAAATGAACTGAGCTCAAACTTTTCAATGCTGTTGCTAAAAGAATATTACAGCAATAACATGTTTTTTTAACTAGGAGACAGAATGAAGTGTGCTGGCACGGGTTCAAACTTCTGATTTATTGTTCCTGCACAAAGTCACACAAACAAAGCAGGCATCCAGAAACATCCGTTGACACCAGGACTAGCTGTGATGCAGATTCCACCTTTTCAAAATGTCTTTTTTTTAAACGAGCAATAGAAATATTGAATAGATTTTCACATATTTAGTGCAGGAAACCTTACATTGTTGCAACTGATGTGCATAGAAAGGTTATTAAAAGGGCAATAACAATGCAACTATTGCTTTTATTTTTAATAATAAAAAAAATATGACTAGGTTTGTTATATCACTATCAACTTTGAAACTATTTTCTATTTGGACTGAAAAAATAGTCACAATTTGGAGTAAAACAACATTTGAGGACTTATTTATTTTTGGTTTGTGAAATATTGACATACATTTATCAAATTTCCTTAAACAATTATCAATATTTAGGTGTACAGTATGTGACATGTATCAAACATGCTGATCCTGGGTAGCTGTAGATGAAAAATAAAATAAAAAGAGTTCAAAACTCACCTTTCTGACGGATCCCGCAGGTAAGTTATGACTCTGAAACAGCAGCTCTTGGTCAAGCCTCTTCACTTACAGAGCTTCAGAGCAGCATGTTGGTTTTTATCATCATGTCTATACCTTCATCCAGCATCCATTGTCTCCACCCCCCAAACAAACCCCTGCTCTCCGCTGTTGGTTCTAGATGTTCAATAAAAGGCCAGAACAGCTCTGGTGTTTCTGCTGATGCAGATGTTTTCTCCCCTTATGGAGCAAATTAAAAACCTGGTTAACTTGTTTATATTTGTATTTTAGCAAAACTCTGTAGGGAATTGTAATTAGAAATAAAAAAAGCGTGCATTCTTTGACGACTTCATGGCAGAGTTTCAAACTAAAATCACCTTATATCGAAAAATGACAGAGTTGTAGCCATTTAGAACGACATTATGCACAGTCTCATGCATTCTGTGATTTTAACTGCTCTGTTAGGAGGGATGTGCATGGATGACTCTCAGCTACTACCACACCAAATTTAAGCTGAACAGATGGACACAAGCAGAAAACATTACTGCCTTTGGCAACAGGCGACACAAAGGAGTTTTATTACCTCCATCTAGGAGCTGATATGTTTTTCAACCTGTTAACATAAGTTATAAACAGATGTTGTCGATTATTAAATGATATCAGTCCAGGTCAGAATTTGTTTTGGCTGTAATCTTAAACTGACATTGGTCTGCAAATGATCAAGAATAAAAGAGTTACTAATTCAACAACAACAAACAAAAAAAACCATTACAGAGTAAAATACTTTTTGAAAACATTTTCTATGAAATATATAAAAAAAAGTGATGCAAAGGAAAAAGAATTGTAGACGACATGCAACTCTCCAGACAGATTAAAAATGAGACACAGCGTCTCGTGTGAATAATCTGTTTTGTGTTTCAGGGTTCAGATGAGGCCCTCGAGGGTAGAATACGAACAATTAGAGCTTTATGGAGCTAAACTCGAACATTTGAGTAAAACAATGAATCACACTTGTAAACAGCTGCATGAATCATGTTTCTTTTTTCATCTTCAGTAATACGCAGAAGTAAGTTACAGAAATCTGATGTGAAATTTAATGACATGTTCTGCTTAGTTCATTATCCTAGTGGAAATTGATAGTGCAAATAAAATTACATTAATGTGGGAAGGATAAAACAGTTGTCATTTGTAAATACATAAACTTGTTTAAAATTCAAAATGCGCTCAAAGTGGTTTGCATCTCATGCTTTTTAATTTCTTGAAATGCTCATGTTTAGCTAGCAGTGAAATAGTACATAATTGCCACGTCACATTTATTTTACGCGCAGAAACAAATATTGAATGTTTCATGCCCCCCCACCAAAAAAAAAAAGGATAAAAATCATTGCTTTGAAATGTCATTTGGATTATAGGACACGTGCATCTCAAAAAATCTGAATATTGTGGAAAAGTTTTTTTTTTTTTTGTCAATCATTTCAGAAAGTGAGACATATAATATGTAGGTTTATTACATATAGTGAAATATTTCAAGCTTTTATTTCTTGTAGTTTTGATGATTATGACTTACAAAAAAAAAGTAAAAAAAAAAAATCAATGTCTCTGAAAATTAGAATATCTCAGAGACAGCTTTTGGTACGTTTGTCAGTGTGGGCCAAGTCCTGCTGGAAAATGAGCTCAGCATCTCCAGCAGAAGGAAGCATGACGAGCTCTAAAACGTCTGCGTTGACTGTGGACCTCAGAAAACTCAGTGGACCAACACCAGCAGAGGACATGGCCCCAAACCATCACTGACTGTGGAAACGTCCCTCTGAACTTCAAGCAACGTGGCTTCCAGACTCTGGGACCTTGATTTCCAAATAACATCATTTACTTAAACCTGAAAAGAGGTCTTTGGACCACTGAGCAACAGTCCAGCTCTTTCTGTCATCAGCAGGTAAGATGCTTCTGACGTTTGGTTCAGGAGTGGCTGGACTTGAGGAATGAAACATTTGTAGCTCATGGAGGGTGTGACACCATGAATTTACATTTTTGAACCCCTTCACAATATAAAAAAAAATTTCTGAGCCACTTAATTAAAAAAAAAAATTGTTTGTAAGCCATAATCATCAAACTTATAAGAAATAAAAGCTCTAAATATTTCACGCTGTGTGTAATGAATCTATATAAAATGATTTTCACTTCCTGAAAATGAGTGACTGAGAAAAAAAATTGAACTTTTTCACAAAATTCAAATATTTTAAGATGCACATGTAGATGCTGCACAATTCTCCAAGATTCCAGTTTGAATGGAAAAATAATTGTGTTCACTTCTTTATAGAAACGTGTCTTTTTTTCTCTTGTGGCCATTTAGGCCCCTGGAGATGACAAGTTGGGTGTTTCTGATCCAAAAGTCTTTACAAAAACTAAATGACGTTCTCAAAGAGCTGCATGGACGACATTATATTTTCATCCTGTTGAAAGAATTAAAAAAAAAAATAATAACATTTAATTACCCAGCTACTGTTTTGTAAGCATTATCACTGTAATGAGGAATTTACCTTTTGGCAGGTTTCAATGAATTCATCTATTGTCACAATCCCATCCCTGTTTCGATCCATTTTCTAAAAAATTAAAGGAGAAATATTCACATTTATTATATTTGGAATGAAAAAAAAATACACAAAAAAGTTTATGAGTTAATCTGATTAGAACCAGGGAGACATTTTCTTGGATTGAAAGCGATGGAGAAGTAGCGAGGCAAATAAGAAGTAGTGTTGTGAAAGGTGTGATAGCACCCCCTGGTGGATGCCAGTGAAAATGCACGTTTAACTCCACATAAGGGAACACAGACATAAATATTAATTTATTAATGCAATTTTTTTATGTCTATGAGGGAACACTGGACACTATGAGACAACCCGGAAGTTGAGGCCAGAGCAGAAACAAAGTCCCCACTGGATGGTCCCAATGCAAGTTTTAACCCCCCCCCCCCCTACATTACTTTTATTAAAAATGATGATGATGCATTAGTTATGATTAGTGATTAGTTGATTCAAGCTTAAAAACATTCTTCTGTAACACAATGATCCCATAAACCAGGTCCTGCTGGCTTCAGTTCCCAACAGAGACAGAATGGAAGAACATCTGGTCTAGTATTATAATACCGGCTATGTTGATGCTCCAAATAGTTTAAAAAAATTTAATGAATAAAACAGTTTCATTAGAGTTGTGTATGTTTAAATGTATTGATATTTTGATATTAATGAGTTTTATACATTTGGTCGTCCATATAATCCAGAACAGATTTTGGTTCGTTGCTTTGTTCTCTTGTGGTCCTCTGTTCCATCAGCCACTTCTCTCATCAGCCCCTGTCCTTTAACTTTCCCAACTTCACCTCACTCACCAATTGAGCAATGCTGGTCCCCCTGACTCTACTCAAGTCTACATGTGTTTCTCTGCATCTGATCCTCACACAGACTGTTGCTGAATCTGTAAAATATACAGATGTAAGGATAAAAAAAAAAAAAAACACATCTAAGGTTTTACCTGGAAGAATTTCTCCACGTGCTCAAAGGGAGAATCATCCCGTACGCTGGGTAACGTGTATCTGCCCATCATGTCATAAATCGATGTCATTATTGCCAACATTTCCTGCAGGAAACAGACAGTTTATCCATGTAAACAACGTCACCACAGCTAATTCAGAGTTTTCCTTATCGACTGTACCTCCTTTGTGATGTAGCCGTCCTTGTTAATGTCATACAGATTAAAAGCCCACCGAAGCTTCTCTGTGACAGAACCCCTGAGCAAAACAGACAGTCCTAACACAAAGTCCTGTAGACACAATTTAAAGGGTAACCGTTAACTTTCTTTAAATAATAAAATTACGTATAGCCTTCAGCTCCTGGTGTACTCACTTCAAATCGGATCGAACCGTTCCTGTCCATGTCGAAAGCGTTGAACAAGAAATGTGCGTATGTGGTCGCATCTGAAAACAAATGTTGAGTAAAGGATTGAAATTTAACAGCGCACAACGTTTGACTATTTGGTTTTACAGAATCACTTTTCTATTGTTGCAATATGGCACATGCATAAACCATTTACCGTATTTTTCAGAGTAAAAGGTGCACCGGATTATAAGTGAAACAAAACAGTCAGCTAAGTCAAACTTTATTCAACTCATTCACAATAACCACATATAATCAGTTTGAGAGCAGAAAGCACAACCAGAATTAATGCATAAGGTGCACCAGATTATAAGGCTCACTGTCAATTTTTGAGAAAATTAAAGGATTTTAAAGTGCGCCTTATAGTCCGAAAAATACGGTATATTATTGTTGAACAAGATGCATGCTGAAGTCAGATGATTTACCTCCTTGAGGGAAAAACTGTGAGTAGATGGTCTTGAATGTTTCTTCATCCACCAGCCCGCTGGGACATTCCTGTTGATGGATAAACAAACAAAGACACGGACACATGTAAAAAAAATTACCAGTTTAATATTGATTAAAGCAATACTGTCCAATAGTTATCAGTCTTAGTAAGCATTATGCTAATAATCCCTTCTGAATTACTGAAAATGTAAACATTTAAAATATATCAATGAGAGTTAATGATAAATCATGAAAACTCTTTCGCAAATGATTTTGGACATTTTAACTGCATGATTCAACACTTGCCTGGTTCCAAATTAAGTAAATTGATGAACAACAATCCTAAAAGCTTATATTTCATTGGCAAAATCCAAACCAAGATGCAGAAGAAGTGAAGTGATTCACATTGTGCATGAGATAAATAAAATGTATATATATATATTGTCTACATTTCTACATTAATTATGGAATAACAGATGTTTAGTCAACTGTTTTCCTTTTCTTAGTTAATAACTCACTTATAAATGAGTACTGCTTTTGTTTTGACAAATTCTAGTAATGCTGTATGGAATTACAAAAATAAAGTATACTGTAAAATTAGAAATATCAGCTGTTTGAACACTTAATGACTGTGCTGACTGCTTTCATACATTTTTGAAGCCTCTGTAAAGCGACTGCAGCTCCTTCCTGGTGAACTGGGTCTGGGCTTGGAGCTGCTCGAGGCCCTCAGGCTGGTGACGCACCATGGAAAGTTCGAGGTCACTGTCGCAGCTGTCTGTTGAACGAAACCAGAGAACACGAGAGAAGACAAGGGAGGACGACAAGAGGGTGGAAACAGCAATAAGACAAGAAAAAAGAAAAGGAGGACTGGGGAGGAGCGCAAGTTGCGCAACATACTGGAAAATTAAAAAGACGGATAAATAATAAAAACACCCACCATCTTTGCACAAACAAAATGATTTCAAAGCCAGCGTAAAGAGATAACAGGTGGGGAAAAGGGGCAAAGGTGAGAGATACAGAGGCATGAGCAGTTTCAGATTTAAATTTGACAATAAAAATGAAAGAAAGTTAAACAAAAACAGGCAAAATGAAAAGAAAAACACGTAAAAATACTGCAACAAGTGTGCAGGTATGATAAAATTTAAAATAAACTACCATTAGTGTATGAAAATAATTTGCCAAATCTAAATACTAATTGTCAAGTTTCATTTTTTTAATGATGTGACTTGCTGGTAATTTTTTTCTGTATTCATTAAAATTGTTGTAATGTTTTCTTTGTGGATTTTGTAAAGGCAACTAATGAGACTAAAAGCCTATTTCCAGAAAATAAAGTATCATATATTGTATTCTATCGTATCATACCGTAACATATTTTGCATCGTATCATACTGTATCGTATATTGAATCATATTGTAATATATCATAATGTATCACATAATGTCTCATTATTTCTCAAATTTTGTTTAGTTTCCTATCATATACTGATATTGAAATTATGATATGGTGTTATGTAAATATATTATGTTTCATATACTGTGTTGTATCATAATGTACACTGGATTGTATATCATATTGTATCATATAGGATTGTATCATTCCTGCTTATTGTGGACACTTTACAGTTATAATTTATAATATTTATTAATTCAACTCATCCAGTAGTCCCTATAATAACAAAGATTTACGGAACAGTGAAAAAATAAATTAAAAATTTCTGCGATCATTTGTGATGAACCATACATTTTGAATATTGACTGATGCTCATTTATAAATAGGTTTGGTCTAATTTCCCTTTTGTCATGAACTCTACCAAGTTTTAGCTTAGAAAAATAAATAAATTAAAAAAAGTAATTTTTCCCGTCTTGTATCTTTCTGTTTTTATTAATTTTTTTAAAGCAGTTTTTCAGATCAGCGTCGCTCATATAGGGCACAGCTTCCACATAAAAAGTAACAAATTTAAGACATGGACATAAATAATAATAATAATAAAATAAAAAAAATATACTTGCATACTGAGAAAAAGTTCAGTCTGCTGTTTAAAAACAAACAACAACAAAAAAAACTTTACAGGTTTAAATGAATTCATATTTAAATTGAATGCATTTCTTGGAACCACTATAGAAAAAAATCTGACCAATAATTTACTCACCATCTTTACAATTTGTCACAAGAACAGATTTGAACAGGACAAGAGAGAGATGAAATAAAGGAGTGGGAGGGAAAGAAAAAAAATGTACATGAATATTTAAAATAATCAGCTTTATACACATATTTACAAAGTGAGCATGTTAAAAGGTAAAGACGCACACTTTTTTAAATCTATCTCATGAATCACAGTGAAGGAATTTATTGAAATACTTTTTCTTTGCAAAGAAATTAGGGAAAAGAATTACACTAAAGTTTTAGAACTGAAATAAAACAGAAACTTGACATTTATGCTATTATTTCCTAATCAATTAATGAGATCATGGCTTCAAAGAACAAGAAAACATCAAGTTTTATCCTACCTTCCAAAGATAAAGGCTCCCAAACACCAAATTGTTTGAGGACAACAATAAATAGTCCGACAACAACAGCAATGGCAAATATTTCCATCCCCTCCAAACCCATTGTTGATTTGATTTATATATATCACCTCTGAAAATGTTATTTTAGATAAAACAAAGTGGAAACGTCTCAGAAGTCTCTCTTGTCCTAAACTGATGACGCTGACAGAGCAGCTCCGCACATCACCTGCTGTCTGTCATCTTCTTCATCCATCAGCCTCCTTTAACTCATCTGATGCTTGTATTTGTACTAGCATCAGCAATTATGACTTAAACTGCCGAGCAGCCAAGAAAAAGAAAAAGACAATGAGTGCGGAGCGTCCTCACTGACAAGTCTTACTGAGTTTTCCTCCATGTCATCCAAAGTTATCTCCACTTCAATCCATCTAAGCAGCATCGTTTCACATCCTGGTTCACTTCTTTCCCGAGCACCGTGTGTGAAGTTACATCTGAGTGTGGCGGTATGGAAGGTTTTAAGTGAAGGAATTTCTTTATTGCTGCTTTACTGACAGTCAAATCTGTCTTTAAGCCCAACGAGTTCAGCGATGCAAAACTGTAAAACCAGACATTGATCCATATCTGCTGATGGCTGCGATCTGAGCAGCACTTAGAGAAAATGAATCTTGCTCAGCCCCGTGTTGGGCTGCTTGGATCTCCAGACTTGGTCACTGGTACTTATACTTAAGGAGTCAAACGGTTTTAATCAGACTCGACTTACTATGAGACCACTGTGACTGGAAAGGCAACGTTTTGTGAAACTGTAGAACAGTAAAGAACGAGTTAAAGCCACGGTGCAAACAAGGTAAGTGCCTCGGCTCAGTCGTGCTACAATCAAACTGTCCTGGAGGGCAGTGAAAGCAAAGAAGAGTGTGAGCACAGTTCACAACTGATGAGTCTGCAGAACTTAATGGACTCGGTTTAAGCATCGGGAGTGGAAAGCTAATCAATCATCAAGAGTTAAAATATTAGTCTGGGAACGGGCAGGGAAAGTGGGCCGCGTGTGCGTTTTTATTAACAGAAACTTTGTGTGGGTTGGTAGTCAGCTGGTTTCTCAAATGAACTACTTAAAAAAAATCCCAAAAATGTATCAGGACCTCAAATACTGTTCCAAAGTGTGTTTTAGATTTAAATTGTATACAAAGGCCTGCTTTAGGGTGAAATTGAGCAGAATACACAACTTACAGATATTTATGTAGCAAAATAGCATAAAAATGCTACTTTGTAAGTTTGACTTTGACAAGGAAAAGTTTGTCTTTCACAAAATAAGTCCCAATATCCAAGCAGTTCCTTTAGCACTTCAGTGCACTCATCTTGCACATACATTTTAATCTTGCCTTCGTTTCCAGTCAATACCTACAGCAGCCATTTGTTGCATGCAGTTATTTTCCTTGTAAAGTCAATTTCAAGTTAAGTTTTTCTGTGCAAGAAGGAGATACTGCGTTATTTTCTGTGGTAACTCACAAGCCATAAAATAATGTAACATAGTGCTGTTTAATGCTCCTTAAGTGCTGATCTATTCTTCTATTGAATACAGACAGCAGGAGTGAGGTGGCTTTATCATGCAGAGATGCAGCCTTCAGCCTCCTCATCAGGATTTAATGACTGCAGAGAGAACTACATTACAGATCAGACTCTGCTGACCTATTCATCACATAAAGATATGTCTCATCACAACCTGACTGGATACGCTCAAGCTTTGACCTCCTGGCTTTTTGCTTTTTCCCCACAAGAAATTTCCAACCTTAAGAGCGCTCAGGCAAAGAGCTGATACAAGAAGACACCACCTGTCTTTACGTTTGATTTTTCTTTCATCAAATTCAAACGGCTCGGTCTCTAAATGGGCAAATATGATTTTAGTTTTCTAAAATCAGCAATAACTGGCCAGGTTGCTGCAGGAAATCAGCTGCATTTTTTTTTTTTTACATCAAATACTTGACAATACGCGACTATAAAATACAAGCCCACTCGATAAACTCTTTTTTAACATTTGCTACATGTTGACAAGTTGACTGCCTTTTCTGTGCACTTTTACCAACTCTGCACCACATATCACACACATCCATGATTTGCTTGCATCTCTGAGATTTTAACTTTCTGCCTTGAGGTTTGGGTCAACCTGTTAAAACACATTTTCTGACTGTTTTTTTTCCAATTTGCCACCTCCTTCCAGCAGAGGGTGCACACCTGAGACCCCATCTGTTGTAGACAGAATGGTGAGCAGGAGACACTCAGGTGCTGTAATATCTACACACCACTAGATGGTAAGAAAGTTGTTACAAACTGGAGGGTATATGTTCAAATATTGACATTTTTCCATATCTGTGCATGTCTAGAGTCAAAAAACAAACAGAAAAACATCATTCTGTCCTGGAAAACATTGGATGGAAGGTTTAAAAGTTTGAGAAAGTTTGCTCCAACAGCGGAATTGTAAGATAGGTGTATATATGGTACTAATCATTTATACAATGATTAGCTTAAAATGCATGTTGGCATGAAAATTATGAAAAAATTGGCACTGGTGGAAAAGACAAGTCTGGTTGCATGTCTGCAGAGACGTTAGCTCAATAGAAGAATTAAAAAAGGGGGCAGCCCAATGAAAGGCTGATCTCTCTTTTAATGTTTAAACAACAGTAAATAACAACATGTGATTTAATTCTGTCAAAAAACAGAAATTCAGTGTGAATAAAGGGAGAGTAAACAGTGAGAAAAATGAGCTCAGCAGAATATAAATGGTTCATTTCCTGACAGATTAACTGCACTGGGTGGCACAGACAGATGCTATCACGGTAAACATTAAAGAAAAATGACAAAACCTTAAAGAACATTGAAATCTATGACATCATACATAAAAATCTGTATCCAGAACTATGTTAAATGGTGTGATTTAAAAGTTTAAAAACAGTACTTTTCAAGATTTATTGATGTGAAATTATGAAATGTGAGTCCACACTCATTGTAAACAAAGCACTCGGCTGAATCAAAAAGCTGGAAGTTTAAGTGACACAATTAACCTACGGTACTCTCTACGCTGGCAAAATCGGACCAGCGCGGATTTGAAGAGAAGACTTTTAGGTGGAAAGCTAAAAGTGAATCTGTTATAAATGTAAATGAAAAGAGAAGGAAAGAATAAAACAGCCGTCAAAAGTAAATCTCGGGGCTCAAGCAGGACGGTGGAGACAGAGCTCGGCTTTCAAGCACACGGTTTTTACAAAACTTCTTATAGACGGATAATTTCACAGTTCCTATTTTTATCTTCATACTTTACTTAACAAATATGTACACATATAATACTAATATAATATATGTACATATAACACATAAAAATGTTCTGATTTCGTAATTCCAAGCAGCTTTTTCATGGACATCGCCAACTTATTTTCAGTCACTTCAGCTGTTTTTGTAACAAACACACATTTGGTATCTATCTATTCACAATTGATGCTTACATATTTTAAGGACGCATAAATCGGAGAAAAATATTGTGCAGACTTTCAAACATTTCAGTACAAAAATAAGAAACTGTCCAGATGACCTGACTGAAACTTGTTGGATTGTATACCTGGATTATTGAGCATGGACTTGGTTGTTTTGAACCAGTTTGACACGACTGTCGACGAGGGAGAGGGTGGGCACCGGAGGAGAGGGTGTGCCTGCCCCAGAGTTCATCTTAGCACCAATATAACATTTTTTTTTTCACTTTGGAGCAAGCTGTCGGGGGGAGAATCAGTGTTTTGTTGTGTGTTTCCTTAAACTGATGAAGACTTCGGGATGTAAGGTAAAACGTTTCAGCACACACAACAAAAGAAACCGTCCAGATGACTTTGTTTCTTTGTCATGATTTTGTTCTTTTGACCAGCCTTCATGTGAGTGCAGTTGTGCCTTTTGAAATGTAAATATAAAAAATGAAGCAGATGCTGATGTTTCTTGCAGCATATGAGGGCGGCATGGTGGTGCAGTGGTTAGCACTGGCTGTGTAATGCATCTACCTGGCCCTTGTTGTGTTGTGCTGGCGATGATCCACTTGACGAGGCAGCAGTTCATCAGAGATTTGCGTGTTAAACGTGGTCTTTGCCACTTGGAACCCTCCACTTGTCCTCCTGGGTTTGGATCTTTTCCATTAGCATCGGGAAGCAGATCGCCATCCACGGCCTTCTTTTCTGCCTGAAAGAAACAGAAAGAAATTACCCGTTTAGAAAAGAAGATACAACATGCAAGCAGAAGACAAGAGCAGAACATCTCAGGTTCTACAGCTGGTTGTTCTTTTCATGTCCATGTGTTTTGTGTTTCTCTGATTTAACAAATGTATTATTTGTTATTGGATTTAATTCAGTACTGACATGTTTGATTTGGGGAAAAATAAGAAAAATATCAGGTGACAACAAGAAATGACTGCTCAGTTTTCTCTGATTCAAGCACAAAAAAATTCTCAGATTTGAAAACTTTTAATTTCTGCTAGTTTTTTTTTTTTTTTTTTTTTTTTTCAGTCTGAAATTTGATTTTATTTTTGTTTAGGCACCATCTCCATTTTGGAGATTGACTGGTAAATGTTAACACGGAGTCACAGTGTCACAGTGCAAGTACTTTTTTATTAGTTTAAATTTGACCTAAAGGACACATTTTCTGCCTATTTACTTAAAACCAAGACTTTTGACTGATCCTCTTACTTTTCCTTTAGCGCTGCTCCTTAATAAGCCTTTTCTGTTTGTTTGACATGAACGGCTTGCTGGGAAGCAAGTTGCTGAAAGCACAGACCGAACGACAGCACGGGGAGCATCTCGGTCCCCTCCGTACCCTGTCAGGATTTAGAGAGCGTGCAGCATCCAGAATGTTGCTCAATTATTCACACTCCTTAAAACCACATCAATAAAAGATCAGAGTTACAGCTGCCACGCTGAGGTGTGTAATAACCCCCTGTCTGTGTGAATGATGACTAAGTGAGATTTGATAAACCGTCCAAATCTGCATGAAAGGTACCAGAGAAGCACCTGTGCAAACGTTCAATCATGCACACAATTAGAGTTTAAGAAGAAGCATGAATGCATATCTAAGTGCATGAAGAAGTCTCATATGTGAGCGCTCCTAAAAGAGTTGTCATATAAAACAACAATGTTTTTGCAACTACATCCTGAAAAGATTTAGTTTTAAAGCA